CACAGTGTCATAGAAGAAAGAGAACTCTATCTGAAATTGTAGTTACATTGTACAGTACTTCCTCAATCACAATCCCTACTCATTTACCAACAATTCCCTCCTTCCAGTTCCCAGCATGCAGTTTGAGAAGACGGCGTACAAGGTGAAGGAGAAGGAGGGTGTGCTGAACATACCCATCGTTAGAACGGGAGACCTGACGGTCAAGTCCTCTGTCCGCTGCTTCACACGCACCATGTCTGCCATGGTCATGGACGACTTCGAGGAGAGGAGGAACGCTGACGACTCACGTATCATCTTCCTCAAGGGAGAGAAGGTAGGTTCTTTATCAAGCCCACGTAGATTCTTCACAAGTTCTTCATGAGCAAATCAAATGGTGGTTATAATAGTTGTTATATCTAGCGCTTTGCCCAATGGGATAAAAACATAACCTTCTGTATAAAGCACTCCCAGACCAATAAAGTTGGGTTTGATGATATGATGATGATGATGATGATGATGATTATGATGGTGTTGTTGATGTTGATGATGATGATATTTTTGTTGAGGATGATGATGATGTTGATGATGATGATGATGATGGTCCAGGTAAAAAACTGCTCGGTGCACATCAATGACGACTCTGTGTTCGAGCCAGAGGAGGAGTTCCAGGTGCATCTTGGGACACCGCTTGGGGACCACTGGAGCGGGGCCATGGTGGGAGTTAGTGACATTGTCACGGTAACCATCACTAACGACGAGGACGGTAAGCAACACAGTCACTAGTGAAAGTCTACACACCCCTTACAGTCTTCACATTTTTCTGCCTTAAAATTGCTTCTTAAAAGCATTCAACTGGATTTTCCCTCCTAAAGATCTACACAACCTACTCCACATCTTCAAGGAGGAAGAAATGTATAGAACATTTTCCAAATGAATAAAAAAACCAAAAACAGAAGATGTCTTGATTGCATCTGTCTTCACACCCCAGAGTTAATACTTGGTGGAAGCACCTTTGGTAGCCATTACAGCTGTGAATCTTTTTGAATCAGATTCTACCAACTTTGCACAACTCTTAAGGCTACATACAGTGATTTTGTACGTTTGCCCACTGACAAAGAAATGATCAGTCTATAATTTTAATGGTAGGTTTATTTGAACAGTGAGAGACAGAATAACAACAAAAAAATCCAGAAAAACACATGTCAAAAATGTTATAAATTGATTTGCATTTTAATGAGGGAAATAAGTATTTGACCCCTCTGCAAAACATGACTTAGTACTTGGTGGCAAAACCCTTGTTGGCAAGCACAGAGGTCAGACGTTTCTTGTAGTTGGCCACCAGGTTTGCACACATCTCAGGAGGGATATTGTCCCACTCCTCTTTGCAGATCTTCTCCAAGTCATTAAGGTTTTGAGGCTGACGTTTGGCAACTCGAACCTTCAGCTCCCTCCACAGATTTTCTATGGGATTAAGGTCTGGAGACTGGCTAGGCCACTCCAGGACCTTAATATGCTTCTTCTTGAGCCACTCCTTTGTTGCCTTGGCCGTGTGTTTTGGGTCATTGTCATGCTAGAATACCCATCCACGACCCATTTTAATGCCCTGGCTGAGGGAAGGAGGTTCTCACCCAAGATTTGACGGTACATGGCGCCGTCCATAGTCCCTTTGATGCGGTGAAGTTGTCCTGTCCCATTAGCAGAAAAACACCACCAAAGCATAATGTTTCCACCTCCATGTTTGACAGTGGGGATGGTGTTCTTGGGGTCATAGGCAGCATTCCTCCTCCTCCAAACACGGCGAGTTGAGCTTGATACCAAAGAGCTCGATTTTGGTCTCATCTAACCACAACACTTTCACCCAGTTCTCCTCTGAATCATTCAGATGTTCATTGGCAAACTTCAGACGGCCATGTATATATGTGCTTTATTGAGCAGGGGGACCTTGCGGGCGCTGCAGGATTTCAGTCCTTCACGGCGTAGTGTGTTACCAATTGTTGTCTTGGTGACTATGGTCCCAGCTGCCTTGAGATCATTGACAAGCTCCTCCCGTGTAGTTCTGGGCTGATTCCTCACCGTTCTCATGATAATTTCACCTCCACGAGGTGAGATCTTGCATGGAGCCCCAGGCCGAGGGAGATTGACAGTTATTTTGTGTTTCTTCCATTTGCAAATAATCGCACCAACTGTTGTCACCTTCTCACCAAGCTGCTTGGCAATGGTCTTGTAGTCCATTCCAGCCTTGTGTAGGTCTACAATCTTGTCCCTGACATCCTTGGAGAGCTCTTTGGTCTTGGCCATGGTGGAGAGTTTGGAATCTGATTGATTGAGTGCTTTTGTGGACAGGTGTCTTTTATACAGGTAACAAACTGAGATTAGGAGCACTCCCTTTATGAGTGTGCTCCTAATCTCAGCTTGTTATCTGTATAAAAGACACCTGGGAGCCAGAAATCTTTCTGATTGAGAGGGGGTCAAATACTTATTTCCCTCATTAAAATGCAAATCAATTTATAACATTTTTGACATGCGTTTTTCTGGATTTCATTGTTGTTATTCTGTCTCTCACTGTTCAAATAAACCTACCATTAAAATTATAGACTGATAATTTCTTTGTCAGTGGGCAAACTTACAAAATCAGCAGGGGATCAAATACTTTTTTCCCTTACTGTAGGTAATCAATATATTTTATTTTCGTCTATGTATTAATTAGGAACGTTGTCTATACATTTATTTTCACTTCGAAAATATGGAGTAGGTTGTGTAGATCGGTAGGAAATGTAATCCCTTTTTAGATATAATTTTAAGGCAGCAACAATGTGAAGACTGTGAGGAATGTGCAGACCTTCACTAGCGACTGTACACATCAGCAGAGTTGCAGTCTGAGAGGTTGATAGTTTGAGAACACTGACTTTGTATAGCATGTACTACATTGTGTAAGATAACGGCATTGTACGACATTACAAACAGAAACACAGGGCATTCTTTTACATACAAAAAAGCACAGTCAATGTAAAAAAATGCATTGCATGTTCAATTTCACATTTTCATTGTACCTTTTTGTACCTCCCCAGCCCCCACCATAGAGTTTGAGCAGACGTCGTACCAGGTGCGGGAGCCCCCTGGTCCAGATGGCATCGAGGTGCTTAACATCAAGGTGGTTAGGACAGGAGACCAGGACCGCACCTCCAAGGTCCGCTGCAGCACCAGGGACGGATCAGCCCAGTCCGGAGTGGACTACAACCCCAAGAGCAGGGTCCTCAAATTCACCCCTGGTCAGTAAAGACTTATTGAGAAGGAGCATTATGGGTAGTGTAGTACAAGAACCTCATAGCCAATCACATTCCCTTTAGTGATTGCTCATACTAGGTCCTGCGCATTTGTATTCATCAGTTTCAGAGGGATTTTGACAGGAAATGTAATATGTTTTTACATTATTGAAGGTATTTTACATCACATGATACAGCAGAAGGACCAGGTCGCAGTTGTAAATGAGAACTTGTTCTCAACTGGCTTACCTGGTTAAATAAAGGTGAAATAAAATAAAAAAGGAAACATGACTTGACTTTTTTCGATCCTTCCATGAAGGCATGGACCACATCCTGTTCAAAGTGGAGATTCTGTCCAATGAGGACAGGGAGTGGCACGAGTCCTTCTCATTGGTCCTCGGTCCTGACGACCCGGTGGAGGCGGTGCTTGGAGAGATCACCACGGCAACAGTCACCATCCTGGACCAGGAAGCAGCAGGGAGTCTCATTCTTCCGGCCACGCCCATCGTAAGGAACATTACTTAATTAAATCTGAATTGTAATGTGTTTTTAATCAAATTATTATTGTCAGAAAAAGAGCCAAGCCAAAAACTTAAAACTTTCCCTCAAAGATTGTAGCCACAGGTACTTATCTTCTCTGGCCTAAAGCCTACCTGGATGCAATGACATATTTCATTTTAGACCGTTTTTTTCTGTTATCAGTCCTGAATTTATAAATTCTGAATTGAGTCACTCCAACACCCTCCCTCCCTCTCCCAGGTGGTATCTCTGTCAGACTATGACAACGTGGCTGAGGTGTCTAGGGAGGGCAGTAAGAAGCAGCCGGCGCCTGGTTACCCCCTGGTGTGTGTGACGCCTTGTGACCCCCACTACCCCAAATACTCTGTGATGAGGGAGCGCTGCGAGGAGGCAGGCATCAACCAGACCTCTGTTCACTTCTCCTGGGAGGTGGCTGCCCCTACAGACACCAACGGGGCCAGGTCACCCTTTGAGACCGTCACTGATACCACACCCTATACTGGGGTTAACCATATGGTGAGTAGTTGAGTAGTAGTAGCAGTAGCAGTAGCAGTAGCAGTAGCAGTAGCAGTAGCAGAAGCAGAAGAAGAAGAAGAAGAAGAAGAAGAAGAAGAATCCAGGCTCTGTCGTAGCCGGCTGCGACCGGGAGACCCATGGGGCAGCGCACAATTGGCCCAGCGTCGTCCAGGATAAGGGAGGGAATGGCCAGCTGGGATGTAGCTCAGTTGGTAGAGCATGGTGTTTGCAATGCCAGGGTTGTGGGTTCGATTCCCACGGGGTCCAGTATGAAAAATAATAATAATGTATGCATTCACTAACTCTAAGTCGCTCTGGATAAGAGCGTCTGCTAAATGACTAAAATGTAAATGTATAGTAGCAGCAGTGGTAGTAGTGGACCGTCTCTGATACCAAACCGTATACTGGTTGGTGTAAACCATATGGTGAGTTCCGGTGAAGTGGTACACTCTTAGAAAAAAGGGTTCCAAAACTGTTCTTTGCGAAGGGATAAGGTCCTACCAAGAACCGTTTTGATCTGAAGAACCATTTTTGGAAGACGAGGGTTCTTTGTAACGCAAAGGATTCTGCCTAGAAGCTTTGACATCCTAAGAACCGTTTTTGTACAAAAGGTAGAGAGCCCTGCTGAATCTGAATAAGCTTTTTTTTATTGTAATATCTTTCCTTTCTTTTAAATAGTGTCTGGGCATTAGTGTTTACCTCAATGTTTGAACTTTACCATCAGGAGTTTGAGTAATATGATACGTTTTAAAAGATAAGTGTGATAATGTTTTAAAATGTACCTATATGGGAATATTGATGCATGTATCTGGTATTCCCGTAATAATTGTACATATACAGGACTGACATAGTTGATATCTTTGCCATGATTTCTGTCTTTCAAATGCATATTTTCAGTGATTGTATTGAGAAGAGAGAATGAGAATAGTATGGAGTATGACTGAACCAGCAGTGTAGTGAATGTTACACCACAAATTGGCCAGTTTTACCTAGATTTTTCAGTGTAACATTTCTAGTGTTGATTCAGTAGTTCAATTAACTCAACACTCAGTGGTGTAAAATAACCCCAGTGTTGGTGTTAATAACCAGAGTTGAGTTTGATTGTGTCATTTTTTACTCTGTGTAAAGTATAACACTCAAAACTACACCCATCATTATCATATTTCCCAGCATGCTCTATTGCAGGTTGATTTTCAGAATTATTTGTTTTAATAACTAGGCCCTCAAACAATGGCCTAAAGATATACACTACCGTTCAAAAGTTTGGGGTCACTTCCTTGTTTTTTGAATAAAATCATTTTTTTGGACCATTAAAATAACATCAAATTGATCAGAAATACAGTGTAGACATTGTTAATGCCAAGAAACTGAAGATCTCGTACAACGCTGTGTACTTCTCCCTTCACAGAACAGCACAAACTGGCTCTAACCAGAATAGAAAGAGGAGTGGGAGGCCCCGGTGCACAACTGAGCAAGAGGACAAATACATTAGAGTGTCTAGTTTGAGAAACAGACGCCTCACAGGTCCTCAACTGGCAGCTTCATTAAATAGTACACGCAAAACACCAGTCTCAACGTCAACAGTGAAGAGGCGACTCCGGGATGCAAAGAAAAAGACATATCTCATACTGGCCAATAAAAAGAAAAGATGGGCAAGAGAACACAGACACTGGACAGAGGAAGATTGGAAAAAAGTGTTATGGACAGACAAATCAAAGTTTGAGGTGTTCGGAAGACAAAGAAGAACATTTGTGAGACGCAGACCAAATGAAAAGATGTTGGAGGAGTGCTTGATGCCATATGTCAAGCATGGTGGAGGCAATGTGATGGTCTGGGGGTGCTTTGGTGGTGGTAAAGTGGGAGATTTGTACAGGGTAAAAGGGATCTTGAAGAAGGAAGGCTATCACTCCATTTTGCAACGCCATGCCATACCCTGTGGACGGCGCTTGATTGGAGCCAATTTCCTCCTACAACAGGACAATGACCCAAAGCACAGCTCCAAACCAAGCAAGAACTATTTAGGGAAGAAGCAGTCAGGTGGTATTCTGTCTATAATGGAGTGGCCAGCACAGTCACCGGATCTCAACCCTATTGAGCTGTTGTTGGAGCAGCTTGACCGTAAGAAGTGCCCATCAAGCCAATCCAATTTATGGGAGGTGCTTCAGGAAGCATGGGGTGAAATCTTTTCAGATTACCTCAACAAATTGACAACTAGAATGCCAAAGGTCTGCACGGCTGTAATTGCTGCAAATGGAGGATTCTTGGACGAAAGGACACAATTATTATTTATATTAAAAATCATTATTTCTAACCTTGTCAATGACTACATTTCCTATGCATTTTGCTATATTTCCTTTTCATACTCATTTCATGTATGTTTTCATGGAAAACAAGGCAATTTCTAAGTGACCCCAAACTTTTGAACGGTAGTGTAGGTGTTCCTTTCTTCCAGGTGGGAAAGGGCAGTGTGGAGTGCAATTGAAATTGCGTCATCTGTGGTTCTGTTGGGGCGGTATGCCAATTGGAGTGGGTCTAGGGTTTCTGGGATGATGGTGTTGATGTGAGCCATGACCATCCTTTCAAAGCACTTCATGGCTACCGACATGAGTGCTACGGGGCGGTAGTCATTTAGGCAGGTTACCTTCGCTTTCTTGGGCACAGGGACTATGGTGGTTTGCTTGAAACATGTAGGTATTACAGACTCAGTCAGAGAGAGGATGAAAATGTCAGTGAAGACACTTGCCAGTTGGTTCGCACATGCTTTGAGTACACGTCCTGGTAATCCGTCTGGCCCCGCGGCCTTGTGAATGTTGACCTGTTTAAAGGTCTTGCTCACATCTGCTACGGAGAGCGTGATCACACAGTCGTCCGGAACAGCTGGTGCTCTCATGCATGCTTCAGTGTTGCTTGCCTTGAAGCGAGCATAAAAGGTACACTTAAATCAGTGTAGTCGAAAGGGAGGAGACAAGTTAAAAAATGATTTTTAAGCCTTAAGACAATTGAGACATGGATTGTGTATGTGTGCCATTCAGAGGGTGAATGGGAAAGACACAATATTTAAATGCCTTTGAATGGGGTATGGTCGTAGGTGCCAGGCACGCTGGTTTGTGTCAAGAACTGCAACAATGCTGGGTTTTTCACACTCAACAGTTTACTGTGTGAATCAAGAATGGTCCACCACCCAAAGGACATCCAGGCAACTTGACACAACTGTGGGAAGCATTGGTTCTACCTAGCACCAAAAAGGGTTCCCGTATGGGGACAAACCGAAGAACCCTATATGGTTCTACTTAGCACCTTTTTTTCTAAGAGTGTAGAATTTAGGAGCAGTGATATGTAGGAGAAGGTTCTGGTATAGTCTGTGTGTTTGTGTTGTCTGAGTGCGTGCGTTCACGTAACTGAATTTCTTCAGCCAGTGCACTGATTTATTGATTGATTGACTGATTAATTGACTGACTGACTGACTGACTGACTGATTGATTAACTGATTGATTGACTGACTGATTGACTGATTGATTGACTGATTGATTGACTGATTGATTGACTGTATTTTCTCCACAGGTCCTGGACAGTATCTATTTCTCTCGGAGGTTCCATGTGCGCTGTGTGGCCCAGGCCCGCGACAAGTCCGGCCATCTTGGAACACCGCTGAGGAGTAACATAGCAACCATCGGCACTGAAGGTTCCATATGCCACACCCCTGTTACCACGGGAACAGCGCGAGGGTTCCAGGCCCAGTCGTTCATCGCCACTCTAAAGTACCTGGATGTCAAACACAAGGAGCACCCCAACCGGTGAGCAGGAAGGCATTCACACACACAAACACACACACAAAAAGCAGGTGTGCAAACACACAAACACACAGTCATGCAGCCAAACAAACTCTAACACAAGGAGCTACCCAACCGATGAGCTCAACATCCACACATACATATCTCCAAATGGTCTATATTAATACTAGAACATCTCCATATGGTCTATATTAATATTACAACACCTCCATATGGTCTACAATAGTAGAACACCTCCATATGGTCTATATTAATAGTAGAACACCTCCATATGGTCTATATTAATAGTAGAACACCTCCATATGGTCTATAATAGTAGAACACCTCCATGTGGTCTATATTAATAGTAGAACACCTCCATATGGTCTATATTAATAGTAGAACATCTCCATATGGTCTATAATAGTAGAACACCTCCATATGGTCTATATTAATAGTAGAACATCTCCATATGGTCTATATTAATAGTAGAACACCTCCATATGGTCTATATTAATAGTAGAACATCTCCATATGGTCTATATTAATAGTAGAACATCTCCATATGGTCTATAATAGTAGAACATCTCCATATGGTCTATATTAATACTAGAACACCTCCATATGGTCTATAATAGTAGTAGAACATCTCCATATGGTCTATATTAATAGTAGAACATCTCCATATGGTCTATAATAGTAGAACACCTCCATATGGTCTATATTAATAGTAGAACATCTCCATATGGTCTATATTAATAGTAGAACACCTCCATATGGTCTATATTAATAGTAGAACACCTCCATATGGTCTATAATAATAGTAGAACACCTCCATATGGTCTATATTAATAGTAGAACACCTCCATATGGTCTATATTAATAGTAAAACATCTCCATATGGTCTATATTAATAGTAGAACTTCTCCATATGGTCTATATTAGTTCTATAACACTAACCTTGTGTTGTCTTCTTTTTCTTCTGCAGTATCCACATCTCGGTGCAGATCCCCCATCAGGATGGTATGCTGCCCCTAGTGTCCACCATGCCCCTCCACAACCTGCACTTCCTGCTGTCAGAGTCCATCTACAGACAGCAGCACATCTGTTCGAACCTGGTCACTCTCAAAGACCTGCAGGGGGTCTCCGGTAAGGACACACACACGCTTGATCACACACACGTGCTTGAACGTGCTCACGCATGCACACACACAGCCACTCATCCTTGTAAAATGCACTTATGCTTCAACACACACACACACACACATACTTGCACCAAATAACATAAATCCTCCCTTTAACAAAGTGTGTTGGATGTGTCTTCCCCTCCCTGTGTGTGATTCAGAGACGGGTTTCCTGGATGATGTCCAGTACGACAGTATCTCTCTGGGTCCGGGTTATGACAGACCCTACCAGTTCAACCCCAGTGTCAGAGAGGCTAAGAGCATCCAGCTGTACAAACACCTCAACCTGAAGAGCTGTATCTGGACCTTCGATGCCTACTACGACATGACGGAGCTCATAGACGTCTGTGGAGGCTCCGTCACTGCCGACTTCCAGGTACTCTACAATACGCCCTGTAGTGGCACATAGAGGGTCAGGGGTCACATAGAGGGTCAGGGGTCACATAGAGGGTTAGGGGTCACATAGAGGGTTAGGGGTCACATAGAGGGTTAGGGGTCACATAGAGGGTTAGGGGTCACATAGAGGGTTAAGGGTCACATAGAGGATCAGGGGTCACATAGAGGGTTAGGGGTCACATAGAGGGTTAGGGGTCACATAGAGGGTCAGGGGTCACATAGAGGGTTAGGGGTCACATAGAGGGTTAGGGGTCACATAGAGGGTTAGGGGTCACATAGAGGGCTAGGTGTCACATAGAGGGTTAGGGGTCACATAGAGGGTTAGGGGTCACATAGAGGGTTAGGGGTCACATAGAGGGTTAGGGGTCACATAGAGGGTTAGGGGTCACATAGAGGGTTAGGGGTCACATAGAGGGCTAGGGGTCACATAGAGGGTTAGGGGTCACATAGAGGGCTAGGGGTCACATAGAGGGTTAGGGGTCACATAGAGGGTTAGGGGTCACATAGAGGGCTAGGGGTCACATAGAGGGTTAGGGGTCACATAGCGGGTTAGGGGTCACATAGAGGGTTAGGGGTCACATAGAGGGTTAGGGGTCACATAGAGGGTTAGGGGTGACACTGTACTCTAGTGTTTATCATGCTCTGAATTCACTCCTGTTTCCATTTCTGGCACATTACTAGAGGACATAATATTCTCTCAGATATTCCTTTACACACAGTAAAACAGCATGATTGGAGTCCACAGTGCTATTGTGTCCACATTGGCTAGTCAGTTTGATTTGCATTGACTTTTGTTTCCCAGTCATGTGAGCACACAGGCAGTAGAAGCCTTGAATGCTCAGATAGAGTTTGCATGTGACTCATCCCAACCAGAGTATGCAAAACAGTCTAGGACAGACTACAGCTGTTGCTACTCTATGTCACCTTAGATCAGGGTTCTTCAATTCTGGTCCTGGAGGGCCGAAACACCTCTGTTTTTCATCCTCTCCTTCTAATCAGGGGCTAATTCAGACCTGGGACACCAGGTGAGTGCAATTAACTACCAGGTAGAAATAAAAAACAGAAGTGTTACGGCCCTCCAGGACCGGAATTGAAGAACCTTGCCTTAGATCATGCCATGCCATGTTCAGTAGCATTACGTCATGTCCTGTAATGTAACGTCACCTTATGTCATGTCTTATGTATGTCCCCACCCCCAGGTGCGTGACTCAGTTGTTCCTGGTGGAGTAGTGTTATTTCCTGTCACTTTATCTTATGTCATGTGCTTTGTCCCCCCCCAAGGTGCGTGACTCGGCCCAGTCGTTCCTGACGGTGCAGGTTCCTCTCTATGTGTCCTATATCTACGTTACAGCTCCCAGGGGCTGGGCCTCTCTGGAACACCACACTGAAATGCAGTTCTCGTTCTTCTATGATACCGTGCTCTGGAGGACAGGTGGGTGTGTGTGTGTGTGGTTAGGGTTACACATCTGTGTAACTCCATTTAACTGTTATGTTTCCTGTGTAACTCCATTTAACTGTTATGTTTCCTGTGTAACTCCATTTAACTGTTATGTTTCCTGTGTAACTCCATTTAACTGTTATGTTTCCTGTGTAACTCCATTTAACTGTTATGTTTCCTGTGTAACTTCATTTAACTGTTATGTTTCTGTGTAACTCCATTTAACTGTTATGTTTCTGTGTAACTCCATTTAACTGTTATGTTTCTGTGTAACTCCATTTAACTGTTATGTTTCCTGTGTAACTCCATTTAACTGTTATGTTTCCTGTGTAACTCCATTTAACTGTTATGTTTCCTGTGTAACTTCGTTTAACTGTTATGTTCCTGTGTCCACTAGGCATCCAGACAGACAGCGTTCTGTCAGCCAGACTCCAGATCATCAGGATCTACATAAGAGAAGATGGCCGTCTGGTAATCGAGTTCAAAACCCACGCCAAGTTCAGGGGCCAGTTTGTCCCCGAGCACCACACCCTGCCTGGGCACAAGTCCCACCTGATGGCCCCAGACCACCTGGGGGGGATAGAGTTTGACATGCAGCTGATCTGGAGCGCCCAGTCCTTTGATTCTCCCTACCAGCTCTGGAAGGCCACCTCCTCTTACAGCAGGTCAGTACACAGACATACTGTTATATACAGTTGTAGATAGATATTAATAGATATACCCAGTCCTTTGACTCTCCCTGCCACCTCCACTTACTTAGCTTCTATGTGGTAAATGGCACGTGTGTATATAGATTATGTATAGGCTTGTCTCCCATATGAATCTTCTCTTTGTGCCAGACTTGGTTCAAATGCCTTCTGTTTATTTTTTTCTGTATTTATTTATCTGTATATGTTATGTATGTACAGTGAGGGAAAAAAGTATTTGATCCCCTGCTGATTTTGTACATTTGCCCACTGACAAAGAAATGATCAGTCTATAATTTTAATGGTAGGTTTATTTGAACAGTGAGAGACAGAATAACAACAAAAAAATCCAGAAAAACACGTCAAAAATGTTATAAATTGATTTGCATTTTAATGAGGGAAATAAGTATTTGACCCCCTCTCAATCAGAAAGATTTCTGGCTCCCAGGTGTCTTTTATACAGGTAACGAGCTGAGATTAGGAGCACACTCTTAAAGGGAGTGCTCCTAATCTCAGTTTGTTACCTGTATAAAAGACGCCTGTCCACAGAAGGAATCAATCAATCAGACTCCAAACTCTCCACCATCGCCAAGACCAAAGAGCTTTCCAAGGATGTCAGTGACAAGATTGTAGACCTACACAAGGCTGGAATGGGCTATAAAACCATCGCCAAGCAGCTTGGTGAGAAGGTGACAACAGTTGGTGCGATTATTCGCAAATGGAAGAAACCCAAAAGAACTGTCAATCTCCCTCGGCCTGGGGCTCCATGCAAGACCTCACCTCGTGGAGTTGCAATGATCATGAGAATGGTGAGGAATCAGCCCAGAACTACACGGGAGGATCTTGTCAATGATCTCAAGGCAGCTGGGACCATAGTCACCAAGAAAACAATTGGTAACATACTAAAAAAATTAATCCTGCAGCGCCCGCAAGGTCCCCCTGCTCAAGAAAGAACATATACAGGCCCGTCTGAAGTTTGCCAATGAACATCTGAATGATTCAGAGGAGAACTGGGTGAAAGTGTTGTGGTCAGATGAGACCAAAATGGAGCTCTTTGGCATCAACTCAAAGAGCTCTGCCTATGACCCCAAGAACACCATCCCCACCGTCAAACATGGAGGTGGAAACATTATGTGTGTGTTTTTCTGCTAAGGGGACAGGACAACTTCACCGCATCAAAGGGACGATGGACGGGGCCATGTACCGTCAAATCTTGGGTGAGAACCTCCTTTCCTCAGCCAGGGCATTGAAAATGGGTTGTGGATGGGTATTCCAGCATGACAATGACCCAAAACACACGGCCAAGGCAACAAAGGAGTGGCTCAAGAAGAAGCACATTAAGGTCCTGGAGTGGCCTAGCCAGTCTCCAGACCTTAATCCCATAGAAAATCTGTGGAGGGAGCTGAAGGTTCGAGTTGCCAAACGTCAGGCTCGAAACCTTAATGACTTGGAGAAGATCTGCAAAGAGGAGTGGAACAAAATCCCTCCTGAGACGTGTGCAAACCTGGTGGCCAACTACAAGAAACGTCTGACCTCTGTGATTGCCAACAAGGGTTTTTCCATCAAGTACTAGGGCGGCAGGTGGGTTTGTGCCCATAGGCGACGTTGTTGCCGGTGATGTCTGGTGAGGACCTGCCTTACAACAGGCCTACAAGCCCTCGGTTCAGCCTCTCTCAGCCTTTTTGCGGACAGTCTGAGCACTGCGGGAGGGATTGTGCGTTCCTGGTGTAACTCGGGCAGTTGTTGTTGCCGTCCTGTACCTGTCCCGCAGGTGTGATGTTCGGCTGTACCGATCCTGTGCAGGTGTTGTTACACGTGATCTGCCACTGCGAGGACGATCAGCTGTCCTTCCTGTCTCCCTGTAGCGCTGTCTTAGGCATCTCACAGTACGGACATTGCAATTTATTGCCCTGGCCACATCTGCAGTCCTCATGCCTCCTTGCAGCATGCCTAAGGCACACGCAGATGAGCAGGGACCCTGGGCATCTTTCTTTTGGTGTTTATCAGAGTCAGTAGAAAGGCCTCTTTAGTGTCCTAAGTTTTCATAACTGTGACCTTAATTGCCTACCATCTGTAAGCTGATAGTGTCTTAACGACCGTTCCACAGGTGCATGTTCATTCATTATTTATGGTTAATTGAACAAGCATGGGAAACAGTGTTTAAACCCTTTACAATGAAGATCTGTGAAGTTATTTTGATTTTTATGAATTATCTTTGAAAGACAGGGTCCTGAAAAGGGGACGTTTTTTTTTTTTACTGAGTTCATGTATATTATTTTACTTCTCTAGGGAGATAATTATTATTTGGATAACCTTATTTACTATTATATATTGATTTTTACCTTACTTTTTTTCACTCTTTATGCGATGCGCAATGCAGCAAACACTGGAAGAAAAATTATAATGATCATTTAATTACCACAGTGAATTGATGTAATGTTTGTTTATGTGTCAATTAATCCCATAAGGGATGGGCTGCCAATTGGCGATTTGACACGAAAATAAAATGTCATTCAGTCATTCATTCATTCATTCATACAGCAGGTCAGTACACCGACATACTGTTATATAGAGTTATAGATATATATTAATAGATATACCCAGTGACTCTCCCTACCAGCTCTGGAGGGCCACCTCTTACAGCAGGTTACTTGGTGTGTAGGCTTTTGTTCCAACCTGTGTTTTCTGCATGCCACAAAACGGTGTTAGCCTGCTGAGCTAAGCTAAAGCCTAGGCATTAGCCGGGGGACACAATGTAAGTCGTCAGGTCTCAGGCAAGGTTGAATCATCATGCAAATGAGGTTCAGAAGCGTCTCTGTTAGAGGAGCTTTACATAATGTGTGTGCTTGTTGTGTTCCAGGAAAGACTACTCCGGGGAGTACACAGTGTTTCTGATCCCCTGTACCGTGCAGCCAACCCAACCATGGACCGACCCTGGAGACAAGCCTCTGTCCTGCACAGCCCACGCCCCAGAGAAGTATGTCCCTCCACAGCCTCCATACACTACTTAGTGAGGGCCCCAGAGAAGTATGTCCCTCCACAGCCACCATACACTACTTAGTGAGGGCCCCAGAGAAGTATGTCCCTCCACAGCCACCATACACTACTTAGTGAGGGCCCCAGAGAAGTATGTCCCTCCACAGCCTCCATACACTACTTAGTGAGGGCCCCAGAGAAGTATGTCCCTCCACAGCCACCATACACTACTTAGTGAGGGCCAAATAGAAGTATGTCCCTCCACAGCCACCATACACTACTTAGTGAGGGCCAAATAGAAGTATGTCCCTCCACAGCCACCATACACTACTTAGTGAGAGCCCCAGAGAAGTATGTCCCTCCACAGCCACCATACACTACTTAGTGAGAGCCCCAGAGAAGTATATCCCTCCACAGCCACCATACACTACTTAGTGAGGGCCAAATAGAAGTATGTCCCTCCACAGCCACCATACACTACTTAGTGAGGGCCAAATAGAAGTATGTCCCTCCACAGCCACCATACACTACTTAGTGAGGGCCATACACTGTTACCATGCTCCTATCTAGACACTGTTACCATGCTCCTATCTAGACACTGTTACCATGCTCCTATCTAGACACTCTTGCCATGCTCCTATCTAGACACTGTTACCATGCTCCTATCTAGACACTGTTGCCATGCTCCTATCTAGACACTGTTACCATGCTCCTATCTAGACACTGTTGCCATGCTCCTATCTAGACACTGTTACCATGCTCCTATCTAGACACTGTTGCCATGCTCCTATCTAGACACTGTTACCATGCTCCTATCTAGACACTGTTACCATGCTCCTATCTATCTACGTTGTGGTGTCCCTCAAGGCTCCACCCTAGGACCCTGCTTCATATGGCCATGCTCTACGTATACGGTAACAACCTGACATTATGTCGTCTCTCCCAGGTTCCAACTACCTATAGCCTTCCAGCAGACCAACCGACCGGTGCCTGTCGTCTACAGCCTCAACACAGAGTTCCAGCTGTGCAACAATGAGAAGGTGTTCATAATGGACCCTGCCGTCGCTGACATGTCCATGGCTGAGATGGACTACAAGGGAGCCTTCTCTATGGGTACAATGACTGTTCCACACACGAGCCACAGGGCAGACTCAAATGAAGTCATCAGGGGAGAACGGGGATAGTTGAGCTATTATTATTTATTTTTATTACCCATTATCTGCATAACCAAAGACAAAATCTTCCCCTACAGGCCAGACGCTGTATGGCAGGGTGCTGTGTATTACAGTAATGTCTCTCTGCTGCCCCTACAGGCCAGACGCTGTATGGCAGGGTGCTGTGTATTACAGTAATGTCTCTCTGCTGCCCCTACAGGCCAGACGCTGTATGGCAGGGTGTTGTGTATTACAGTAATGTCTCTCTGCTGCCCCTACAGGCCAGACACTGTATGGCAGGGTCTTGTGTATTACAGTAATGTCTCTCTGCTGCCCCTACAGGCCAGACGCTGTATGGCAGGGTGCTGTGTATTACAGTAATGTCTCTCTGCTGCCCCTACAGGCCAGACGCTGTATGGCAGGGTGCTGTGTATTACAGTAATGTCTCTCTGCTGCCCCTACAGGCCAGACGCTGTATGGCAGGGTGCTGTGTATTACAGTAATGTCTCTCTGCTGCCCCTACAGGCCAGACGCTGTATGGCAGGGTGTTGTGTATTACAGTAATGTCTCTCTGCTGCCCCTACAGGCCAGACTCTGTATGGCAGGGTGTTGTGTATTACAGTAATGTCTCTCTGCTGCCCCTACAGGCCAGACGCTGTATGGCAGGGTGCTGTGTATTACAGTAATGTCTCTCTGCTGCCCCTACAGGCCAGACGCTGTATGGCAGGGTGCTGTGTATTACAGTAATGTATCTCTGCTGCCCCTACAGGCCAGACGCTGCATGGCAGGGTGCTGTGTATTACAGTAATGTCTCTCTGCTGCCCCTACAGGCCAGACGCTGTATGGCAGGGTGCTGTGTATTACAGTAATGTCTCTCTGCTGCCCCTACAGGCCAGACGCTGTATGGCAGGGTGCTGTGTATTACAGTAATGTCTCTCTGCTGCCCCTACAGGCCAGACGCTGTATGGCAGGGTGCTGTGTATTACAGTAATGTCTCTCTACTGTATGGCAGGGTGCTGTGTATTACAGTAATGTCTCTCTGCTGCCCCTACAGGCCAGACACTGTATGGCAGGGTGTTGTGTATTACAGTAATGTCTCTCTGCTGCCCCTACAGGCCAGAGCTGTATGGCAGGGTGTTGTGTATTACAGTAATGTCTCTCTGCTGCCCCTACAGCCCAGACACTGTATGACAGGATGCTGTGTATTACAGTAATGTCTCTCTGCTGTACGACAGTGTGCTGTGAATTACAGTAATTTCTCTCTGCTGCCCCTACAGGCCAGACACTGTATGGCAGGGTGCTGTGGAACCCGGAGCAGAACCTGAACGCAGCCTACAAGCTGCAGCTGGAGAAGGTGTACCTGTGCACAGGACGGGATGGATACGTGCCCTTCTTCGACCCCACAGGGACTCTGTACAACGAGGGCCCTCAGTACGGCTGCATCCAGCCCAACAAACACCTCAAACACAGGTTCCTGATCCTGGTATGGATATCCATAGAGATGGAAAAAGGGCATGCGTCCTATGTTTGCTATGTCTGCCATGGTGCTGCCCATGCTAATACAAGTTTTGTGGCAATTGTGCCCTCTATCCATCTCTATGATGGCATATTTTCTATTCAACTCCCATGTTCCTCTTATAGTGGTTGGATATATTGGTGATGTTCCAGGTCATCTTTTTCACAGTCACACTGCACAGCTCAGAAGATTTCCATGTCATATTAATGTGCTTCCCTGAGATGCTAAAAACACTTATGATCTGTGCAGTGTGACTGCAATTTTGACAACCTGGAACGCAGCCAGTGCCACTGCTTGCAGAATCCATATATTCCTTTTAGCAGACACTTTTATCCAAACCGACTTGTATTACAGAGTGCATACTGTACATCATTTGTAAATGTGATCCCTGCGGGAGTTGAACCCACAACCTAGGTGTTGCTTGCGCCATGCTTTTACCAACTGAGTCACATCATTGACTGTGAGGTAGTGACAGTACCCTTTTGGTTTGTCTGTGGTATGTCACCCAACGTAACAGCCACCCCATGTGACCTGATAGACTGGTTTGGTCAAGTCTCTCAGGGCAAAGTCATGGATTTTAAGAGATTTTAAGACTGTGAGCTATTCAAATAGGAGGAATCTTATTGGTGTACAAATCACTGCTCTGGTATTGTATTGTTGGATCATATTTATGCTATTGTTTACAATAATGGTTGTATGGCAGGCTATTGTCACGAATGCTGGAAACTACACATTTTACTGAAACTACAACTGAAAGTACAACTGAAAGTTCAACCTTTATTTAAGCAATAGGGCCTGAGGGGGTGTGGTATCTGGCCAATATACCACGGCTAAGGGCTGTTCTTATGTATGACGCAACGCAGAGTGCCTGGACACAGCCCTTAGCCATGGTATATTGGCCATATACCACAAACCACCGAGGTGCCTTATTGCTATTACAAACTGGTTACCAACGTAATTAGAGTAGTATAAATACATGTTTTGTCATACGTGTGGTATACGGTCTGATATACCACGGCTGTCAGCCAATCAGCATTCAGGGCTCGAACCACCCAGTTTATAATGAGATTTAAACAACAATTGTACTAATGTGCTAATGTACTTTCCACATCTACATCTATAGCCCACATCCAGCAGTTAGCTAGCCTTGTTAGCATGTATGCTAGTGTTTTGATTTGATAGGGTCCGGATAAGTTGAAATAACGGTGTTGTAACGTCTCTCCTTTAGGATCGGAAGCAGCCTGATGTCTGTGATAGGTACTTCCATGACGTTCCCTTCGAGGCTAACTTTGCATCGGATATAACCGAACTACAGACCATGACAGCCATGCCTGGTGTTGATGGGTTCACCATGAAAGTTGATGCCCTGTACAAGGTCAGTGAAGACAAAGACTTATCCACTTAACTGTAATGATTTATTAATGATAATGTACTGCTTATGAATGCATTATGTATGAGTTCTAAATCTGTTATGAAGGCCTTATGTAGGTACCCTTCAAAAATGTCTTCTTCAGGTTTGAGGGTAACTCTCAGAGAAATAAAACGATTTATCTGATTTATCTCCATGGTAACGCTCTCTCTCTCTCTTTTGATTGACAGGTGGAGGCGGGGCATCAGTGGTACCTGCAGGTGATCTACGTGATTGGTCCAGAGTCCATCTCCGGCCCCAGGATCCAGCGCTCTCTGACCTATCAGCTCACCCACAGCAGCGGCGGGGGGCGGGCTCGCCGGGACCTGGTTGACCGCAGCGGACGCCTCACTCTAGACGAGTCTCTGATCTATGACAACGAAGGCGACCAGACGAAGAACGGAACCAACATGAAGACTCTCCGCCTCGAGGTCTCCGCTGCCTCAACCTTTAACCCCCAGATGGGTGGGTCGGTGGGCGGGGGCGTGGCTGCGCTAACCCTATTGGTCCTCGTCCTGCTGGCTTCCTGTTTACTCTTTAGGAAGTGCCGACAGTCGGCTGGGAAGAAGCCGTCCCAGATGGCGGAGGAGTACCCTCTGAACACCAAAGTAGAGGTGTGTTTGGAGAAGACCCTGGAGAAGAACTTCAGCTCCAAACACTGCACCGTCAGGAACATCAACATCAACCGTAACTACGACAACGTCAACTCCAAGGTCAACAGAGGGGCAAAGGTCAACGGAGGGGCGAAATTCAAGCAGGTCAACCTGGAGGTCAAGCTCCACAACAACCTCCACAACGACGGCACCGAGGTCTGAGGATCCCCTCCACCTCCCACAAGTGTTTCCCCTTGCTAGTTAATTTCCAAGGCGGGGCACCAAAGTTGTCCGTTTAAACCAGTAGAAGTAACATACTCAAGGGGAAACATCTCCCGGAGTGGAGGAGTATTTTATGAGAAATCTAAAAGAAATGTTATTTTCTAAAAAGCGTTTGTTTGTACTTATGGAGTAAGATATTGTTTGTTAATGTATTTTTATATGACCGCGATGAGAGATAAAAGTACAAAGGGAAGCGTAGCAGCGTTTTCAGCGTTTATTCAAATCATTTCAGAACTGGGCTACCTCAGGAATAGGAAAAGGAGTGAACGACTGTCGAACTATGGTGTCATGATTTGAATCTATTTGGGTCTCCTGTCGTTTTATTATTGTTTTCGACTTGTCGTCGTCGTTGAACGACTAGAGAGTTTGGAATCAGTCGGGAGAAATCTGCTGCCTTGTTTTCTCTTTCTGTGTCCATGACAACAACAACGCCAAAATGATCAACATCCAGTAGCTCAGGCACTTTGCTCCAGCTTGTCTTGAATCATTTGAATAGTTTAGCGAAAGCTCGGCTGCATTATTTAATTGCAGTACCCCAATATGACCACTATGACGGTTATTAAACACAGTCAGGACCCAATCCTAACGCCACTTTCGTTCATCATTCATTCATTTCAATGGAAGATTTGCACAAAAAACTGTTAGGATACAGGCCTATAGTGTGTTATGGTCTTCTGCCCACAACTGAATGAGTAGTGTGTAAATGATATATTCTCAAGTGCAATTAATCCATGAACACACTCTCTCCTCAAACTAAGGTATCTGCTTGTGGAACTAAGATCCAGCCTAGTAATATTGTGTGTCTGAAATGACACCCTATCCCCTATACCAACTCCAGTCCTCCAGTACCACCAACAGTACTGGAGGACTGGAGTTGGGCTGTTGGGAGTACTGGAGGACTGGAGTTGGGTTGTTGGGAGTACTGGAGGTCTGGAGTTGGGCTGTTGGGGGGTACTGGAGGACTGGAGTTGGGCTGTTGGGGGGTACTGGAGTACTGGAGTTGGGAACATTGATCTATACTTTATAGTGCACCACTGGGTCCTGGACAAAAGTAGTGAACTAGGGAATAGGGGGTGTTTTTCTACATTTACACAGGCAGACAATTCTGATCTTTTTTTTCCACTAATTGGTCTTTTGACCAATCACATCAAATTTTTTCACATCAGATCATTTTCAGAGCTGATCTGATTGGTCAAAAGAACAATCAGTGAAAAAAGATCAGAATTGGGCTGCCTGTGTAAAAGCAGCCACTATGTATTTTAGCTCAAAAGCTTTCCATAAGTGCCATTACATGCAGTACTGTCTCATGCATTTCCAAATCCATACAAATCGTCCAAGTAATGATTCCTGTATGATGTAACCATTGATCATAGAGAAAATGTGTTCCATGACGTGCAATAGATCGCATGCAGATGAATACAAGTGGTGCAAAACACGATAAACACACATATAAAGACAAACACAGACAACACACAATCCAAAACACAAAACACTCAAAAAACACCACCACAAAACTCAACCAAACAACCAAAACCACACCAACAACCACAAACCAACAACACCCACAATACACCACACAAACAAAAACACACACACCACAACACCAAACACACACACCACCACAACCACACCAACCCACCACCACAACCACAACCACAACAACCACAAACACCACACAAACACAACAACCACAAACCCACCCACCACACCACCAACAAAACCAGCACAAACCAACACACCCACACCCACCAAACCCACCAACACCACCAACCAACCAACACCAACACCACACCAAAACCACACCCACAACACCCACCACAACCACACCCACCACACCACACCACACACCACACCACCACCACCCACCAACCACCCACACCACCACACCCACCCACCACCACCACACCCACCACCACCCACACACACCCACCCACCCACCACACCACCACCCACCCACCACACCACCCACCCAACCCACCAACCACACACCACCCACCCACCCACACAACCCAACACCACCACACACCACCCACCCACCCACCACACACACCACCACCCACCCACTACACCCACCCACACCACCACAAACCAACCACCCACCCCACCCACCACCCCACACACTCACACCACCACCCACCCACACCACACACCCACCCACAACACACCACCCACCCACCCACCACACCACCCACCCCCCACCCACCAACCAACCCACCCCACCCACCCACCCCACACCACCACCCAACCCACCCACCACACCCAACCAGCCCACCCACCCCACCAGCCACCCACCCAGCCACCCTACCCACCCACACCCACCCACCCACACACCCACTCACCCACTCACCCACCCACTCACCCACCCACCCACCCACTCACTCCCATTGGATGCGGCTGTAGCCTTGTGATTATTACTATAACAGAATTGATTTCTTGTTTTTTTAATTTGGACATGTTACGGTTAAATTGTAATATTTTATACAAGATGTGTGTCTGTTTTATTTTATGCCTTGCCTTCATTGTGCCAAAATACCCCAAATGCCTCAGTTATATATATGTTTTAATGTGCATACAAGTTCAATCCCACAACACTATGACCGCATCCCAAAAGGCACCCTATTCCCTATGAAGTGCACTATTTTTGACAATAGGACACTATATAGTCATAAGGGTGCCATTTGGGACATGTTGATATTGCAGTATGCATTATTATTTATGTTATTACCCATATCATGTTATTACCCATATCATGTTATTACCCATATCATGTTATTACACCATATCATGTATTACCCATATCATGTTATTACCCATATCATGTTATTACCCATATCATGTTATTACCCATATCATGTTATTACACCATATCATGTATTACCCATATCATGTATTACCCATATCATGTTATTACCCATATCATGTTATTACCCATATCATGTTATTACCCATATCATGTTATTACCCATATCATGTTATTACCCATATCATGTTATTACCCATATCATGTTATTACCCATATCATATAATCAATTTTTTCCATCATCTGTAAGAATGATGTGTAACATTTGTGGTGTGTGAATTATTGATTGATTGATTATGACACATGACTACTGCAGCACAGCATCCCACAGCACTGAATGTTCTGCAGAAAACCATTTTGTGGGGCACTGATTTGTCAATAGCTCTCTCTCGCTCTCTCTCTCGCTCTCTCGCTCCCGCTCTCTCTCGCTCCCGCTCTCTCTCTCTCTCTCTCTCTCTCGCTCTCGCTCTCTCTTCTCTCTCTCTCTCTCTCTCTCTCTCTCTCTCTCTCTCTCTCTCTCTCGCTCTCACTCACTCACTCACTCTCTCTCTCTCGCTCTCTTTCTCTCTCTCTCAATCTGTCTTTAATTTCATAGAACAGTGTGCCTATCAAAAAAACAGTGGGAAGTTGGAGATTTTTTGGTGCTATCATTTGTGGAAATAATTCCAATGCTATCAATACGATGCCTGTATTCTGTGCCTTTTTAGTAATAAAAATGTTAAACACATGCTTGTATATTCCTTGCTAACTGGGTTGTTTCTGTAAGGCCAGTCAAACCTGATAGTGTCCCAGGTTTAACTAGTAGTCAGTCTTTTTATGGTAATGACAAACTATCCGTCTGTTGCAGGAAGGAGCTACAGACCTACAATACAGTTTTACTACTAAAAGTCCATCCCCCCAAGGGGCTTTGGCATATCCTATGCTTGTGGAATATTGCATATGTTCAAACCACAAACATGATTTTTCCTTTGAGGGATTGTAAAAAAAAACTGGTTTGCAATGTTTGCTGAGTAACCATTCATTCTCAAATATCGATGTACCCAACTGCATCTGTGCAAGCTTTATTAAAAACCAATATGAGATATGAGTCTCCCCGAACCATGAATATTTGAGAAGAGTAGGCCTACCCACTGGGGAAAAAATGGTTGAATCAACGTTGTTTCCACATCATTTGAACCCCAAAAATCTATACTATGACGAATCAATGTGGAAAAACTGATTGGATTTGATAAAAAGTCGTCAACGTAAAGGAAGTGTGACTTAACCTAAATCCAATGACATGGTCACATTTTTTGTTGATTTCATGTTGAATTCACGTTACTTGAAATCAAAACTAGATTGAACTGACGTCTGTGTATTGTGTAACAGTGTTCTAGATTAATATACAGGGTAACAGTGTTCTAGATTAATATACATGGTAACAGTGTTCTAGATTAATATACAGGGTAACAGTGTTCTAGATTAATATACAGGGTAACAGTGTTCTAGATTAATATACAGGGTAACAGTGTTCTAGATTAATATACAGGGTAACAGTGTTCTAGATTTAAATTAACATGGTAACAGTGTTCTAGATTAATATACAGGGTAACAGTGTTCTAGATTAATAAAATGGAATAACAGTGTTTCTGATAATTGCATTCTGAATGTGGTACATTCTAGATTCACACATTATTAATCAGCATTTATAGATTGATGTTCAAACAAAAGTGATTCAGCAAAGTCTCGACGAAGAAGCACATTAGTCTACGGCATGTATTAAACATAAACCTGTTTAACAGGTAAGCCTCTGTTCTCCAGGGGATGACGTCACATCCTCATTGGGAAGCACAGGGAGGCTACACCTCAGCTCAGGTAAAGGTGTGGCACTGTGTTGTAATACGCGGAAGGTTTCTGCTGCTGCCTACTGTGTTGAGTGGTAGCTAAACTTCAGGTAAGAATCATTACAATACATTTATTTTTGCGAGATTGTTTTGTCTTATGAATAGGATATACTGTAGACGGATGTTGTGTATTGACGTGCGTTAGGAGTGATTTCATGCACTGTTTTATGAAAATGTGATGTGATTGATCTTGCCTATACCTGACACTGAGATCGACTCGACTGCTGAATACGGTTTTTGATCTGCAATCCTTTTGACATTGCTCTGATGAATTCTATTGTATTCTATTCTATTGTATTTTATTGTATTCTATTGTATTTTATTGTATTCTTGTCAAGGGCTGATGTAATGTGGTGTGGGAGTCAGGCGCAGGACACCGAAGCTTAGTCCAACAGTCTTTACTAGTGAAACACTAGGCAAAATACAATAACGGCCTCAACACAAAACAGAGGCGAGCGATTACGCAAACTGTGCGGAAAACAACAAACATAGAGAAACACGCAGCACTAACGGACAGGCGTAACAATAACACACAAACTAACCAACACAAAGCAGGCAACTTATAGGACACATAATCAGACACAAACGGACACAGGTGCAATAGACAGACAAAACCAATCTAACATCGAAACATCTAACGGTGGTAGCTAGTACTCCGGGGACGGCGAACGCCGAAGCCTGCCCGAGCAAGGAGGAGGAGCAGCCTCGGCAGAATCCGTGACAATTCTATTGTATTCTATTGTATTTTATTGTATTCTATTGTATTCTATTGTATTTTATTGTATTCTATTGTATTTTTTTTTATCTCATTCACTTTTGGTGCTTTAGGCTACTGTGCTCTATCACTTTTTAAAACAGTAATATGGTAAGAGAAGTGGCCTATTTCATAAGAATGTTCTTATCTCACCAGACACGGAGATCACCGGTCCATATCACCATTGAAATGGCAAATGCATGGGTAAGATCACTAGTGGTGTATGATGCATGCGTTGATAATAAAATAGGCAATTCACATGAATACCTTCGGATAACTTTTAAGATAACTTTGCGTAAAGCATAAAACAAACATCTTCTACACTGTACAAAACATTAAGAACACCTGCTCTTTCATTTACATTTACAATTACGTCATTTAGCAGACGCTCTTATCCAGAGTGACTTACAAATAGGTGCATTCACCTTATAGCCAGTGGGACAACCACTTTACAATGAATTTTTTATTTTTTATTTTTTATTTTTTTTTGGGGGGGGGGGTGTGGGTTGGAGTAAAGGGGGGGGGTTAGAAGGATTACTTTATCCTATCCCAGGTATTCCTTAAAGAGGTATTGACATACACTGACCAGGTGAATCCAGGTGAAAGCTATGATCCCTTATCGATGTCACTTGTTAAATCCACTTAGATCAGTGTAGCTGAAGGGGAGGAGACAGGTTAAAGACGGGGTTTTAAGCCTTGAGACAATTGAGACTTGGATTGCTGGTTCTAATCCCCGAGCCGACTAGGTGAAAAATCTGTCGATGTGCCCTTGAGCAAGGCACTTAACCCTAATTGCTCCTGTAAGTCGCTCTGGATAAGAGCGTCTGCTAAATGACCAAAAAAAAAAAAAGATTGAAGTGCCTTTGAACGGGGTATGTTAGTAGGTGCCAGGTGCACTGGTTTGAGTGTGTCAGGAATTGCAATGCTGCTGGGTTTTTCACGCTCAACAGTTTCCCGTGTGTATTATGAATGGTCCACCACCCAAAGGACATCTATCTAACTTGACACAACTGTGGGAAGCATTGGAGTCAACATGGGCCGGCATCCCTGTGGAACACTTTCCACACCTTGTAGAGTCCATGCCCCGACGAATTGAGGCTGTCCTGAGGGCAAAAATGATATTTTTTTCAATATTAGGAAGGTGTTCCTAATGTTTTGTACACTCTGTGTATATTTACAATGTGCAAATAGACAGTAGTCGAGGGCTAGGCCACCTCAGTTTTGATAAGCATAAAACCCCTTTAGCGAACAATAGCACAAACTTGTGACTCACTGGCTGTGTGTCTGTATCTCTGCCCGCTTCTGTACTATTGAATGACCTGGAAGGTCTCATGGACTCCCCAACCTAATGCAACATTTACCTGTTCTCACATTGATAGAAGTTGAGTGTCACTGTTTTCATTTGTGAAATATGAATATATAAGCTGGTTTATTTTGTGTGCAGACCGGGGAGAGAGGGAGCATCAAGCCCAAGGCAGATTTCAACGCAAAGGATGACGCTGTGGCTCTCAGCAAGGCCATGAAGGGACTAGGTAACGAATACTGGCCTTTCTAGAACAGACCTGGGTTCAAATACTGGCCCCTTCTAGAACAGACCTGGGTTCAAATACTGGCCTCTTCTAGAACAGACCTGGGTTCAAATACTGGCCTCTTCTAGAACAGACCTGGGTTAATATACTGGCCCCTTCTAGAACAGACCTGGGTTCAAATACTGGCCCCTTTTAGAACAGACCTGGGTTCAAATACTGCCCCCTTCTAGAACAGACCTGGGTTCAAATACTGGCCCCTTCTAGAACAGACCTGGGTTCAAATACTGGCCTCTTCTAGAACAGACCTGGGTTCCAATACCGGCCTGTTTTAGATCTCTCAAATACTGGCCTGTTTTAGATCTCTCAAATACTGGCCTTGTTTTAGATCTCTCAAATACTGGCCTTGTTTTAGATATCTCAAATACTGGCCTGTTTTAGATCTCTCAAATACTGTCCTTGATTTAGATCTCTCAAATACTGGCTTGTTTTAGATCTCTCAAATACTGGCCTGTTTTAGATCTCTCAAATACTGGCCTTGTTTTAGATCTCTCAAATACTGGCCTGTTTTAGATCTCTCAAATACTGGCCTTGTTTTAGATCTCTCAAATACTTGCCTGTTTTAGATCTCTCAAATACTGGCCTGTTTTAGATCTCTCAAATACTGGCCTGTTTTAGATTTCTCAAATACTGGCCTGTTTTAGCTCTCTCAAATACTGGCCTTGTTTTAGATCTCTCAAATACTTGCCTTGTTTTAGATCTCTCAAATACTTGCCTGTTTTAGATCTCTCAAATACTGGCCTGTTTTAGATCTCTCAAATACTGGCCTTGTTTTAGATCTCTCAAATACTGGCCTTGTTTTAGATCTCTCAAATACTGGCCTTGTTTTAGATCTCTCAAATACTGGCCTTGTTTTAGATCTCTCATTTGCTTCAGCCTGCTTGGAGTGCCAGGTGGGATTATTCTATTGGTTCCAGTGCAACAGGCAAGCTCGCTCAAGCACATTTAAAGTATTTTAAATGAAATCAAATAGTTCTTATAGAGACAATCCCTAATCCTTTCTGGTGCGTGTGTGGATCAGTTCTGTTGTATAGCCAACCAGCCTTGTTGGATTTGTCTGCAGGTACAAACGAGAAGACCTTAATAGATGTTCTAACTCAGAGGAGTAGTAGTCAACGTCAGCTCATCTGTAAAGCTTACCAAGAAGCAACCGGCAAGGTAAGAACTCAACACTTTCTACCAGGGTCACAACTCTCTTTCTCCCTCTCCTTATGTCTCTCTCTCTCTCTTTCTTTCTTTCTGTGTGTGTATGTGTGATCACTTGTCTACCTGTCTTCCTGTAGACTCTGGTGGAGGACTTAGAAGGGGACACCCATGGTCACTTTGAGGACCTGCTGGTTGCGCTGGCCACGCCCCCTGCCGTCTATGACAGCCAGGAAGTCGCCAAGGCCATTAAGGTGAGCTAGCTTTAGAACGTCCTTTTTCTTGCCTCCCTAAACAAATAATTTCTTAATTTAACTTCATTTGTACTCAACACTAACACCAGAATAATGTGTTGCAGGGAATTGGGACTAAAGACAGTGTCTTGATAGAAATCTTCGCCTCAAGATCCAACAAACAAATTAAAGAGCTGTCTGATGCCTATTTAAAACGTAAGAATTGATCATAACCAATCAGTATAATCATTGCTAGGATCAGTTGTGTGTTTCAACCAATCAATTCAATGACACAGTACCTAGACAGAGATGACATCATCAGATGATGTTAAGATTATTTGATAGTTGACCTGGAGACACGTTTACATTGCAACAGATTTTCTTTCATAGAAACTGAGAGGAAGTTGACCTTGGACCTGAAGAAGGAGATTTCGGGAGAATTTGCTGAAGCTATTCTCATTCTGGCCGAGGTATTGTGAGCCAATCAAAACATAGGATCTGTAGTTGCTGTTGTCGTCCATAGAATGGGCCTATAAATCTCTCAATGTGATTTGTCTTTAATCTAAGGGCAAGCGGGATGAGAACACCCTTGTGGATGCAGCCAAGGCCAAAGAGGATGCCAAGGTGCTGTGTGTTGATGTTTCTCAGATGTTATGACACAGTTATTAGGGTGCATTAATAACAACATTTATATAAAAAAAATACATTTATAATACCATTTATAACAACATTTATAATAACATTTATAACAACATTTTCATCTCTGTGAAACACATCTAAAATATATATTTATTTATTCCCTTCCTTCAGACTCTTTACAACGCGGGGGAGAAGAAGTGGGGGACAGACGAGTCCAAGTTCATCAACATCCTGTGTCAGAGAAGCATACCTCAACTCAGACAAAGTAAAGATAACTGACCTTGGGCACAACATTGTTGTTTTTGCTAGAAGCCTTATATCTGACCTGTGATGTCATGTTGTTGTGTAGCTCTGGTGGAATACAAGACCGTCAGTGGGAAGAGTCTGCAGGAGATCATCGAGGGAGAGATGTCTGGGGATCTAGAGGAGCTACTTGTGGCCATTGGTAAACGACTGCTCCATCATACCTGTGTTATAATGTGTTTTCTTGTGCCATGCTTGTACTGATCATGTTTTTCTGTTAAGCAAAAAACTACAATGACTATTTGCATAAATTGGCCTCCTACTTTTATCATCACATATATAACCACCACCAGTAACCCTAACCCTAACCCTAACCCATATATAACCACCACCAGTAACCCTAACCCTAACCCTAACCCATATATAACCACCACCAGTAACCCTAACCCTAACCCTAACCCATATATAACCACCACCAGTAACCCTAACCCTAACCCATATATAACCACCACCAGTAACCCTAACCCTAACCCTAACCCATATATAACCACCAGTAACCCTAACCCTAACCCTAACCCATATATAACCACCACCAGTAACCCTAACCCTAACCCTAACCCATATATAACCACCACCAGTAACCCTAACCCTAACCCTAACCCTAACCCATATATAACCACCACCAGTAACCCTAACCCTAACCCTAACCCATATATAACCACCACCAGTAACCCTAACCCTAACCCTAACCCTAACCCATATATAACCCACCACCAGTAACCCTAACCCTAACCCTAACCCATATATAACCACCACCAGTAACCCTAACCCTAACCCATATATAACCACCACCAGTAACCCTAACCCTAACCCTAACCCTAACCCATATATAACCACCACCAGTAACCCTAACCCTAACCCTAACCCATATATAACCACCACCAGTAACCCTAACCCTAACCCTAACCCATATATAACCACCACCAGTAACCCTAACCCTAACCCTAACCCATATATAACCACCACCAGTAACCCTAACCCTAACCCTAACCCTAACCCATAAATAACCAGCACCAGTTATGATGCTGTTTCTCTCCTCTAGTGAAATGTGTGAAGAATGTCCCAGCATACCTAGCTGAACGCCTGCATCAAAGCATGAAGGTACGGACAGTATATTTTTATGTTGAATACAATGAGCACATTGTTGTGTGATAGTCGCTGTATGTTAGGAAATGGTTATGATTCCATAGTAGAGTTTCAGTGGGTGTGTCCCCCAGGGCGGAGGAACGGATGAGTGCACCCTAAACCGTATCATGGTCAGCCGGTCAGAGATAGACATGCTGGACATCAGAGCAGAGTTCAAGAAGCTTTATAGCTATTCCCTGCACTCTGCCATCGAGGTAAGACTACACCCCCAAACCCTCACCCTAACCCTCAACCTAACCCTAACCCTAACCCTAACCCTCACACCCTCAACCCGCCCTCACCCTCAAACCGAACCCTCACCCTCACCGCTCCCTCACCACCTCACCCTCCAACCAGAACCTGAACCCTAACACTTACCCTAACCCTAACCTGACAACCCTAACTTCACCCTAACCAAACCTCAGACCAACCGTCACCAAACTCTCAACCCACCCAACCCTCACCCAACCTCAACCTCACCCTCACCCTAACCCTACCCGCACCCGAACCCTAACCTCACCCAAACCTCACCCTAACCCTCAACCGAACCCCCACCCTCACCCTAAAACCCCACCCCAACCCTAACCCTCACCCTCACCCAACCTCAACCCAACCCACCTCACCCTCAACCCAACCCCACCCACCACCGAACCCTAACCTCACCCTCAACCTACCAACCCTCACCCTAACCACAACCCCAACCACAACCCTCACCCTAACACCTACCCGAACCACAAACCCGACACCACCACTACCCTAACCACACACAACCTCAACCCGCACAACACCCAACCAACTAACACAACCCTAACCTCACCCGTAACCCTAACACCCTACCCAAACCCACCACCCTAACCCGTCACCCGAACTCACTAACCCATACACCCTCACCATCACCTACCCTCTCACCCAACCAACCCTAACCCTACACCCTAACACCTACCCTAACCCAACCACCTACACCTACCTCACCCTAACCCTAACCCTCAACCACTCACCGAACTTAACAAACCCAACCACCAGTACACCAACTAACCCTCACCCTAACCTTCAACCCTAACCCTAACACCTAACGCCTACCTAACCTTCACAACCCTGAAGCCCCATAACGAACCCTCACCCTAACCGTCACCCTAACCCTACCCTAACCCTACCCTAACCCTCACCCTACCCTAACCCTAACCCTCACCCAACCTTCACCCTAACCCTAACCCTCAACCCTAACCCTAACCTAATACCCTTACCCTAAACCCTACCCTACCCTCACCTAACCCTACCCACCCTAACCTCACCCTCACCCTCACCCTACCATAACCCTCACCCTCACCCTACCACACTCACATAGTCTCTTCAGGCATTGTTCCCATCATGCTTTTCTGCTTCACTTGGCACAGATAGATATAAGGGCTTTACACACTACTGAGCCGAACCGAGTCAAGGCAAACCAAACTGTACTGAGCTGGCCTGGTTACGCATCCACCATAGACGCTTGAACCGTTCTGAAAAGGACAATGTAAAAAGGAAATACCCAAGCCAGCACAGTTTGGTTCGGATTGGCTCAGCACGAGAGTGTGAAAGGGGCATTAGATAACTCACCGGTACCATGGTCAGAGTTGGAGGTCAAATTTAAATTGAGCTTGTCCTCAACTCTGCTACCTCTCATGTATCTACAGTATTTCTCCTGTGAGGTCCAAGTCCTGACATGCTCAGCCATGGACAGGCATTGTACTCTATTAAATGAAAGGGTGTCTACACTGATAGTTCTCTCAATGGTCAACTGTAATATGGATAAAAAATCTACTTGCTACAACTATGATATGTTGTTGTCTCACCTAGCTATCTTAAAGGGATACTTTGGGATTTTGACAATGAAGCCCTGCTAGCAGATAACCATAGACTTCCAGACATTGCGCTAACGCTAGTTAGCATTGGCTCATGAAACTACCTCTAACTTCCTTCATACTGAACATAGAGACATAAAAATTGTATCCACTAGTTGGTCTGACTCTGTGGGGAAGTATATAAAGGGCCTCATTGCCAACATCCCAAAGTATCCCTTTAAGATGAATGAATGCACTAATTGTAAGTCGCTCTGGATAAGAGCGTATGCTAAATGTCTAAAATGTAAAGATGTGTGCACACCTTTTCCTGTCATAGAATACAATTAATCCTACTGCATATGAACTATTATCTCTCTCTATATATTTGGTTGGAGCTTTGTGTGCTTGTCCTCACTGGTGTGTGACAGAACGGTGGTGTTGTGATCTTCTGTCTGTAGTCGGATACTTCTGACTGCCATGGGGACTGTCTCAAGCAGATCTGTGGAGGGGACGATTAAGAATGTAACACAATGGAGGGGACGACTAAGACAGTAACACCACACTGCAGGCAGAAGATACCTGTGTATCATACTGCTACTGTTACTGTTACTGTTACTGCTACTGCTACTGCTACTGCTACTGCTACTGTTACTGCTACTGCTACTGTTACTGTTACTGTTACTGTTACTGTTACTACTACTACTACTACTACTACTACTACTACTACTACTACTACTACTACTACTAATACTACTACTACCCACTAATATTACTACTACTACTACTACTACTACTACTACTACTATACTACTACTACTACTACTACTACTACTACTACTACTACTACCCACTAATATTACTACTACTACTACTACTACTACTACTACTACTACTACTACTACTACTACTACTACTACTACTACTACTGGTACTACTACTACTACTACTAATACTACTACTACTGGTACTACTACTACTACTACTACTACTACTACTACTACTACTACTACTACCCACTAATACTACTACTACTACTACTACTGGTACTACTACTACTATTACTACTATTACTACTACTACTACTACCCACTAATATTACTACTACTACTACTATTGTTTTGTTGTGTTTTCATGCTATTTGCCACCTGAACAGTCCACATGTGGTAGAGATGTGTGGTGTCTAAGCGATTTATGACTTTGCTAACGTTTGCAAATGGTATCTTAGAGGATGTTGATTCAGCTTAGGGAAGCATCTGGAGAGCAGTTCTATAGGGGCACCCTAAAACAGAGGAAGTCTGTTGTGTGGAGTCATGGGATTGGTCTGTAGGGGAAACCACCCATATCATGTTAAAGATTATATATACTTGGTTGGGACAAAGGAGGACAGCACAACATATTATATTGGGTCTGTTGTTCTCCAGATGCCTGCAGATGTCTGTAAATTTACGCTGAAATCTTTTGAAATAATAAACCTTTATAATCAAAGTACAGTGTAAGCGGACTCCTTGTTCTCACAGCATAATTAGCATCATTATTTAGATACCACAGATGCATCCTTCTTCTATAGTCATTTGATACGTCAAGTATACCTATATTCAGAAGCAGATGCTATTTACATATGTGGGGATCTTAACAGTCGAATTGAGAGGTTAGATGACTATATAAATGATATTGATGATATCCCATCGCGTGTTGCTTTTGATTACTTTGTTAATCATCATGGGGAAACACTATTAGAATTCCTTCGGGACTCTAAAATGTGTATAATTAATGGAAGGATATGCCCCTTAAGCGATCATTTTACATCCATATCTGGCAAAGGAAAAGCTGTGGTGGACTATATAGTTACCCTCCACGACTGTCTAGAAACTTGTTTGGAATTTAAGGTGTTACTCCCTACACAGATGGTTGAAGAATGCGGATGTTTTGACTTAATTGGAGAAAAAAGTAGACTTCCTGATCATTCTCTTTTATTTATGATATTTTCTGTTGGCCACGAACATTCTCAACCAGGTATTACTGTGCATCACTCGGGGCAAAATATATATACCCCGCATAGGCCTAAATGTAAGAAAATAAATGTGCCAAATTACTTTCTATGTTCTGAAATGGCATGTAGAGCTCTGGTGGAGCTCATCGAAACTCTGCAAAGATGCCAAGAAACGACATTTGATTTAGATGTGTGATATGAAACATTTTGTGATATTATATATTCTGAAATGGGAAAAAAATGATGTGAATAAAGAATACACCCCCAAGTCCAGGAAAGTTTACAAGCGGAACAAGCCTTATTGGAATGATGAGTTTGTGGAGAGGGGATGGACGGCGTCAGGCGCAGGAGAGTGATATGGTTTATTCAGCCCAATAAGGTAGTCCGCAGCAATGCGTAAACACGATCCCAGTGCGACTTAAATGCGTACTAGGAACTAAACATACGCGGGGTAAATATTCCCGCCGATAAAATAACATAATGCTCAACCGAGTTAGTGATACCTCCACAAAGTAACAATCACACACAAAGACATGGGGGGCAGAGGGAATACTTATACAGGGACTGATGAGGGGATATGAACCAGGTGTGTGTGTAATAAACAAGACAAAACAAATGGAATGATGAGATGAGGAGCGGCAGTGGCTAGAAGGCCGGTGACGACGAACATCGAAGCCTGCCCGAACAAGGAGAGGAGGCAGCTTCAGAGGAAGTCGCGACAGAGTTAAGGGATCTGTGGTCAGTAATGCACAAGGCTGAGTACTTATTTTGACAGTGTAAAGATAGGAATAGAGAACATTTTAGGAAGGAATTTAAGAAAAAACAGCATGTGTTTGATAAAAGACTGCGCCTATTCAAACGAAGATATCAGAGAGGGCAGTTATTACCCCTTGAGGAGATACAGACAATAAATCCTCAACAGTTTTGGAGCCAAATAAACAAGTTAGGACCAAAACAACATACGAAAATTCCAGTGGAAGTCAGGGAAGAGCAGGGGGGGTGATCTCTGATATTACACAGGTACTCAAGGAGTGGGAGAAGGGGTTTGCTAGTTTGTTCTCAGGTAACGAAAATGTGGCATATTTTGAGGAATAATTTTATAAAGACATGTGTTCCCTGAGAACTAAAATGGAAAATACAATGTTAGAACCCTCTTATACGTATAACCCGTAGTTAAATGAGGAAGCTATCTGTGGCAGAAGTTAATGTCACGGATGCCGCCGAGGCTGCTCCTCCTCCTTGCTCGGGCAGGCTTCGGCGTTCGTCGTCCCCGGAGTACTAGCTACTGCCGATCGATGTTTCGGTGTTTGTCTTGTGTTGTCTAGTTTGTACACCTGTTTCTTATTTTGTATTGATTATGTACCATATAAGTTCCCTTGTTTTATGTTTGCCTTTGTGTGTTACTGTCCTTGTTTCCTGTTCGTATGTTCGGCATTGCTAAGCTCGTTCTTTACGCACTCCGCGTTGTTACTCCTCTTGTGTTTGGATGCTTTTGTTTTTGTGCGTATTATTTTGGAAGTAAAGTAGTCATTCCTGATCCTCTGTGTCCTGCGCCTGACTTCACCGCCGCATACACATCATTTCTGACAGTTAAGATGATGATGATTGATGCTCCAAAAAAATGGGAAAGCATTTGGCATTGATGAACTGCCTAATTAAGTTTTAAAATCCCCTAAATTAATTGACGTCCTATATGATTTGCTCCAGATGTGTTTTGAGTACAGTATGCTGCCATCCACTTGGTATAAGTCTATAGTAAATCACATTCCCAAATCTTCAGAAAAATTTCCCCTGAACTATAGAGGCATTCGTTTATTAAGTACGGTTTATAAATTATATTCATCCATCCTCAACAATAGGCTAATTACCTTATTGGAAGATCAAAACATTCTGGTGGAAGAACGAAATGGTTTTCGTAAATCCAGAGCCTGTATAGATCATATCTTCTCGGTTTGTACAATAATCAGAAATAGATTACATGAAGAGAAGCCTACTTTTGCATGTTTCATTGATTTCCAGAAAGCTTTTGATTTTGTAAATAGGGATATTTTAGCCTATAGTTTGTTAAAGACAGGGGTTGATACGACCCTACCTTACACAGGAAGCGGCACAGGTCCTAATCCAGGCACTTGTCATCTCCCGTCTTGATTACTGCAACTCGCTGTTGGCTGGGCTCCCTGCCTGTGCCATTAAACCCCTACAACTTATCCAGAACGCTGCAGCCCGTCTGGTGTTTAACCTTCCCAAGTTCTCTCATGTCACCCCGCTCCTTCGCACACTCCACTGGCTTCCAGTTGAAGCTCGCATCTACTACAAGACCATGGTGCTTGCCTACGGAGCTGTGAGGGGAACGGCACCTCCTTACCTTCAGGCTCTGATCAGACCCTACACCCATAATGAGGGTACTACGTTCATCCACCTCTGGCCTGCTAGCTCCCCTACCTCTACGGAAGCACAGTTCCCGCTCAGCCAAGTCAAAGCTATTCGCTGCTCTGGCACCCCAATGGTGGAACAAGCTCCCCCACAACGCCAGGACAGCGGAGTCACTGACCACCTTCCGGAGACACATGAAACCCTACCTCTTTAAGGAATACCTGGAATAGTATAACAGTAATCCTTCTACACCCCCCCCCTCCCCCAGTGGTGGTTGTCCCACTGGCTATCCTAAATTGAATGCACCAATTTGTAAGTCGCTCTGGATAAGAGCGTCTGCTAAATGACTTAAATGTAAATGTAAATGTTGATGGGAGATTTTATCATGCAATCCAGTCTCTTTACAAAGTACCAATTGCTTGTGTGCATGTTAATGAATATGGAACAGATTGGTTTCCCTTGGTTACCCTCGGGTGTAAAACAAGGAGACGCCTTATCATCAACTTTGTTTGCTATGTTTATAAATTATTTGGCAAAATACATTAAACAGTTAAATATTGGAGTAAGACATGATGATGAAATGCTAAGTATCCTTTTATATGCTGATGATATTATTTTGATGGCAGAAACTGAACAAGAACTGCAGAACATGTTATTATGTGCAGTCAATTGGTGTAAAAGATTGAGACTCGCGATCAACCAGACAAAATACAGATAATGCATTTTAGAAAACCAGGTACTAAGAGAAGTGTTTTTCAGTTTTGTTTTGATGAAGACATTCTTGAGTTTACTAGCAATTATAAATATGTTGGTATTTTTATTGATTCATTTATTACCTTTCTATGCAGAACATCCTGAGTGGCGCAGTGGTCTAAGGCACTGCATGTCAGTGCTAGCTGTGCCACTAGAGATCCTGGTTCGAATCCAGGCTCTGTCGTAGCCGGCCGTGACCGGGAGACCCATGGGGTGGCGCGCAATTGGCCCAGCGTCGTCCAGGGTAGGGGAGGGAATGGCCGGCAGGGATGTAGCTCAGTTGATAGAGCACGGTGTTTGCAACGCCAGGGTTGTGGGTTCGATTCCCACAGGGGGTATGAAAAAAAAATAATGTAAGTCGCTCTGGATAAGAGCGTCTGCTAAATGACGTAAATGTAAATGTAAACATCGGCCCTGGCCGACTCAGCAAGTAGAGCTCTTGGGGGAGTTATAGGAAAAACAAAAACACTCAAAGATGTTGATTATGCTACGTATTCCAAACTGTATCAGACATG